TTTGTTCATGAAAATCCGCCATTCCGAAATCGCAGGAGGGTCGGTGTAATGCACTACCAAAACGCCCGTAACTAAGAAACAAATGCTAATTCGATGATGCCGGCTGGCACACTGATTCACTATGAATTTAGGCCGCACCCCCTAAAGGCAGAAGGTCGTACTACATCCGGTTCGCCCTCTATTGACACAGTCTTGAAACTTTCTGATCGCACCTCGTACATCCTTCTTAGTTTATTTAATAATGCTTATTCAACTGCATAGGTTATTTATTTATAATTTATCTAACGACGCCTTTGAACACCCGATTCTCAAACACCTGCGATATGTGTTCCTCCTTAGAGTGAGAGACCATGTGTCAGAAAGTATAAGAACATGAAAAACTCTTTAAAACTGTTTAAGATCCAAACAGCATTTCTGTAACAAAGTAATTTTAAAAAAATTAAGGATTTGGGCCCTCCATTTGTAATGTCTTAGATGCTGACTTTTATGATTGGATGTCCAGAATTATTTTTAAGGACTTTGAGAAAGCCATCGCATTTTCTCGATTCAACTTAACTGCAAAGACAGACTGACATTGCGATAAACTTTCTGACTTGCAACAAATTGATTTTTAAAGATCGTAAGAATGGGTTTCATTTTGAACATGTATGGATTTTACGACAGGAAGTGCTGTAATATAGATCAGTTAATGCTGTTGTTTATAGAATGATACTTCACAGTGCGTCCGGTTTTTGTTGTCTTATGTTTTTTGTGTTATTGTTTTGTTCTGTCTCATTGTTCTGTTGTTTCTTATTGTTTTTGTTGTCTTATGTTTTTTGTGTTATTGTTTTGTTCTGTCTCATTGTTCTGTTGTTTCTTATTGTTTTTGTTGTCTTATGTTTTTTGTGTTATTGTTTTGTTCTGTCTCATTGTTCTGTTGTTTCTTATTGTTTTTGTTGTCTTATGTTTTTTGTGTTATTGTTTTGTTCTGTCTCATTGTTCTGTTGTTTCTTATTGTTTTTGTTGTCTTATGTTTTTTGTGTTATTGTTTTGTTCTGTCTCATTGTTCTGTTGTTTCTTATTGTTTTTGTTGTCTTATGTTTTTTGTGTTATTGTTTTGTTCTGTCTCATTGTTCTGTTGTTTCTTATTGTTTTTGTTGTCTTATGTTTTTTGTGTTATTGTTTTGTTCTGTCTCATTGTTCTGTTGTTTCTTATTGTTTTTGTTGTCTTATGTTTTTTGTGTTATTGTTTTGTTCTGTCTCATTGTTCTGTTGTTTCTTATTGTTTTTGTTGTCTTATGTTTTTTGTGTTATTGTTTTGTTCTGTCTCATTGTTCTGTTGTTTCTTATTGTTTTTGTTGTCTTATGTTTTTTGTGTTATTGTTTTGTTCTGTCTCATTGTTCTGTTGTTTCTTATTGTTTTTGTTGTCTTATGTTTTTTGTGTTATTGTTTTGTTCTGTCTCATTGTTCTGTTGTTTCTTATTGTTTTTGTTGTCTTATGTTTTTTGTGTTATTGTTTTGTTCTGTCTCATTGTTCTGTTGTTTCTTATTGTTTTTGTTGTCTTATGTTTTTTGTGTTATTGTTTTGTTCTGTCTCATTGTTCTGTTGTTTCTTATTGTTTTTGTTGTCTTATGTTTTTTGTGTTATTGTTTTGTTCTGTCTCATTGTTCTGTTGTTTCTTATTGTTTTTGTTGTCTTATGTTTTTTGTGTTATTGTTTTGTTCTGTCTCATTGTTCTGTTGTTTCTTATTGTTTTTGTTGTCTTATGTTTTTTGTGTTATTGTTTTGTTCTGTCTCATTGTTCTGTTGTTTCTTATTGTTTTTGTTGTCTTATGTTTTTTGTGTTATTGTTTTGTTCTGTCTCATTGTTCTGTTGTTTCTTATTGTTTTTGTTGTCTTATGTTTTTTGTGTCTTATTGTTTTGTTCTGTCTCATTGTTCTGTTGTTTCTTATTGTTTTTGTTGTCTTATGTTTTTTGTGTCTTATTGTTTTGTTCTGTCTCATTGTTCTGTTGTTTCTTATTGTTTTTGTTGTCTTATGTTTTGTTGTGTCTTATTGTAGGACCACTGCCACCGGGTAAAAACCCATTTGCAGTCAAATAAATAATAAAAAATATAATTATGAAATATCGGGAAATACTTTTAGCGTTTGCAGTGAATCACACAATTCCAGCCGACAGCCAGAAAGTGACAGTTGCGTTTGACTGCATTATCGAACACATTGTATTTGTTGCACTGCAAACCCTTAATTTTTCAGAACGCCAATCCATCAGCGCAAGCAGCATTGGTTAAAACATTACTGGCGTCGATCCATCGGCGCTGGCTATATCTGGTACTTCAGTTTCATATTAGGCTCCCAGATGGCAACACAAGGCTTCATCAAATATTTTAAAATGTAGATCTTTTTTTCCTCAACAGATTGCATCTCTAACTAACTAACTAACTAGATGGCTTACCGAACCCGAAGGTTCATCACCAAATTAACCAAAGCCCTCCACTGGACCCTGTCCTAGGCCAACAGAATCTAGTCTCCCTCAACTCTTATCTCCCATAGATCCTGCCTCAGATTATCCTCCCACCTACGTCTAGGTC